AAGTGGGATATGAACTACTTCATGGTCTTCAGAGTAGAGTAAACATCCCACCCTTTAAAAACATATACCCTTCAGAAAAAGGTAATTGGTTCATGCATTTCTTGGATCAAATACTGCTTATTGCATAGCATTTGCTAGTTTATATTAGTTGGCTTGCTTGAAGTACAGCTGTAAGTGGAGGAAAGATTATGATATTAAAATGCAGTCCTTAGTTACTACTTGCAAAAAATAAAAAGGGGAATGAAACTCTTGTGAATCTGCAAAATATTTGCCAACATGGATTAGTTAAACATCTTTTTATCTTTAAGGGCCCAAAGAAATGCAATTTACCTAATCATTACTAAGATCATTTTGCTGCCAATGTGCTGGCTGACCATAATCAATTTAGTATCTATTTTTCAGTCAGATCCTTCCATCTGTAAAGTGGAATAGTGATGCTGAATTCCCCTATGATGAGTTTTGAGAGCTTCAGATACAAAAGGCTTTAAAGGACCTAAGGATTTTAATTCTTTCATATTGCATTTGTGAAGAAATGTTTTAAGTAACTTTAATTCATTACTGATGCACTTTATTTTGTGATCATTTTCTGCAACCCAATTATTTGGTGCCATTTACATGAAATTTCATTTCCTTTTGTAATGCTGTTTCCACTGGATACGCAGACAAGCCTGAGACTTGCTGTTTGGTTTCAGAACAGACTTAATGTTTCAGTCAGTCTGTCAAATGTAAAAATACTGCGGCTATGTAAATTTTTCAGGTTTGAAAAGCAAACAAAAAAAAGCTTTTTGTTACAGAGTAATTGTTAGCACTCTCTTCTTACCAGCTCTTTCTCTCTCTTTACTTCTTTAAACCTTAGTAGTTGTGTGTCCATTACAGTTTTTGTAAAGATAGAGTCACAGTTTCTTTCCATTTCTGTATTTTGTTGTAGAGAAACTGCTCTAAATATTTATGCAGCATATTATACATATGCATATTATGTCACATTGTAGTAAATCCAGAGTTCAGTTGCTAGCATAGGAACTTTCCCCGGATTATTTCACTCATTTAGCCTAGGAACTGTTAATATCTGACGGTCATGACTCTCGGCTGTTCTGTGTTAGTCTGGAGCATCAGCTAACCTTTTCGTTCCGGTTTTTGCAATCACATGCTTCAGCTCTGTTCAAAGCTCAGACATGGCTGATCATTTTCCTCTTGTTTTCTACAGGATCTTATGGCCAAAGTGAGAGCAATGCTTGCAGCTTCCAAAAACATACAAACTAGTGCCTCCTGAGACCTGTTGAACTGACCATTAAGGAATTGTGTGAAAAAGAACAATATTAAAAGAAACTGCCTCATCTCAAATGTACAGCTGAACTTGGCTCACTTGGTTCACAACTCGTCTACTATTACCAGAACTTGGGGAGCTAAAACCTATCTTTCTGTACAGAAGCGTCTCCTTGGAATTTCATTAAACTTTTTCAGCCAGAATATCTTTGGGAAGTTTTTGGTTTTTGTAAATTGATTTTTTGACTAATTCTTCAGTAACATTTTATGATCAGCAGTCTATATGTGTATATTTGTAAATACCATGTTTCTGTGAAAGAAGTATTACACAATAATAAAGAAGGAAACATCTTTCATTAGCTAGAGTTTTTCTGGAGTCCTTACTTGCTGGAGGTTGACTTTTGTTACAAATTAATTGTCTTCAGTAATTTCTGCTTTTTAAAATAACAGCTGCCTAGCCTGCTTGACCAAATACTTTTTATCTTCCTTCACGCATGGAATGATCTAAGAATGCTTGTTTGCTTGGATGTTAGTAGTGGATAGTCTGGGGACAAGGGACATGATTTTCTGTGCATCATTTAGAAAGATCCCTGAGCCTCCGTTTGAGAAGTTGACCCTTTGAAGTCAATAACTAATGTATTGGTCAGTAGCCCTTTTGTCTTAATGTACCTTGTTCTCTCTAGTTAGCTACAGAAAAGAGAGTATATTTTGTGGCCATTTAATGACATACTTTACAGAAATCCAGCATTCCTCTTGTTTAACATCTTTCATATGGTTGAGGAAGATGCTTACTAACATATGTTTGACTGACATATACCAGTTAACACTTTTCAGAAGGCTCGTGGCCTCAGTATAATTGCATGTTTGTTTATTGTGTGTTCTTTATTGTACACAGAGGCAATTACTTCTTTTTCTTTTTAATTTAAATGACCTTAAAATGAGTACAGAAAGGCATGTGTGAATTTTTCCCCAGGCCTGCTTTAACTGTGAGAATTTGTAATAGTTGGTGTATTCAATGGTGCTCTCATGGGCAGTTATCCGATTCCATAGTGGGTGGAATTGGAGCTTTTAATGACCCCTGAAAAACTCTGATCTATAATCGGAAAGATTGTGGTTATAGTGACTCACGTCCTTATTTTCTCAGTCTTCATAGAGAGTAGGTGGAGGTTGGAGATGGATTAGAGAAATTAATGTGGTGAAGTTTACTCTTACTCACAGACTAGTTGGTAATTTAACTACTCAGATTAATAACTCCAATGTAAATTCTTATTCAAAGCAAGGGGATGAAAACCAATGTCCATGTAACTCCAGCTTTGAGGAACATGATGGTCAAAATAGTAGTTGGTCTGCCACTCGCTGTTGCCCGCTTGGAATGCAAGAAATTTAAACCATTGAAGCAATAATTGGGTTTCTTTTCAATTTTTGGCCAGTCATAATTAGCAGAGTTTACACTCCTACAAACAAAATAATACTGTGTCTGATGCAGAGAAATTTCATTGTACACGTAAATTGCGATGAAAGAGAGCCATCTAAATGGTAATGCAGAATCATGTTATCCACCATTTACCTAATTATTTTAAGGTTATTTGTAATGTTTTGACTGACTAAAATAACTTTCAACCAGTGCAAGAGAGGTAACATTTTCTCTGTATGTTTTGTCGAAATGGTCCTAGTAGAAACAGATAAAAAAAAGGACATAAAGTAAATTACGCAGGCAGCTGTTGTAGATTGTTATGCAGTGTTAAATTTACAGCAGCTATATTTTTCCCTTCTAAATGGAGTTAAAAGTCTCACCATAGTTAAATAATTGGCAGATTGGATGCCAGTTGTTTGTCATGTAATAGGAAAAAAGCCCAACTCTTTGATAAAATAGACTGGGCAGCTTGTTTTGCTGCTGCTTTGCAGATTTATTCTCTTTGAGAAGATTGTTGCTTTAATGACTTCTTAAAATACTGTCCCTCCCTCTGAGCAAGTCTTTTTTTTGTCCTTTTTTTTTTTTTTTTCTTACTTCCTTTTGTGGTATGAAGTCAGATGAAGGGTTTATCACCAAGAAGATTTAGATTAAACTGCATTTTTATACACTTTCTGTTGTTTACTGAGATTTGGTTGCATTTAGCACTCTCTCATGGGTAAGTGTATTCTCCAGAATTTAAAAAGTAGTAGTGATTTTATAGGGTTATTTTTCGTTCTTTCCAACTGCAATGGACACTTTCACTGTATTAAAGGAGCTTGAAGTGCTTTACTCAAATAATTCCTTTGCATGTATTCACATTCAGAAACCAGTGCTGCTTTTTTGGTCTGTCTTCACAGGCACTGGCTGTGTTATAACTGATGCTGAATACAGCAGGGAGCTTGTGGTACAGTCGGTACCGTTTCTGGAGTCTGGTGTATCAAGAGAATGTGTAACCGATAACAAGAGAGTTTCCTAAGAACTTCAAACTAGAAGATTTTCACTTTTCTGTTTTCCAGGTACAGATTTTCAGTGCAAGCCCTGGAAGAGACCTCTGGGTGGGCCCAGTTACAGGACCCTGCTAAAGCATCTGGGACCACAGGCAGTAAGTCTGGGCTTTGCAGAAAAAGGGGGATTGAACTGATGCTTGTATCTACCTCCCATCCCCAAGAACTGTATGTACTCAATTCCTTGCAATGTGGCCACACACCAAGAGGTCCAAAGAGGGCCCTGTATCACCTGACTACTGCCAGAATCTTGTTTCTGATGGGAAATACATGAGGTTGTTACAACGGGGAGTTAGGGAGTGTAGTGGTAGGACAAGGGGTAATGGCTTCAAACTTAAACAGGGGAAGTTTAGGTTAGATATAAGGAAGAAGTTCTTCACAGTGAGGGTGGTGAGGCACTGGAATAGGTTGCCCAAGGAAGTTGTGAATGCTCCGTCCCTGGCTGTGTTCAAGGCCAGGTTGGACAGAGCCTTGGAACTAGATGATCTTAAGGTCCTTTCCAACCCAAACCATTCTATGATTCTATTCTAAGAAACTGGGAGAGCTTCAGCTGGAAGAAAGGAGGCTTTGAGTAGTAGGAGGCTTCATGAGGAAGGCACTGTGGTAGCCTTCCTCAAACCATTCTATGATTCTGTATGCAAAGCTCTGAGTTGTCAGCAACTCAGTTTTAATTTTTCAGATTTCTCAGTTCTGTGGGAGCAATGTGAGACTGCTTTACTTAAATTTTGGTCAAATGCAGTAATTTAAGCAACTCTTTAGCTATAGATAATTCAAATTATTTCCTCTGCGTGTGTGTAAAAAAACAGGACTTGAAATGTTAACTCTAGCTTTCCAAAGCACTTTGTAAGGGCCTTCTTGTCTGTAATGTGCTAGGCAGACTGTCCTCATTGTCTTAGGAGTTTTAATCATAGTTCTGAGGTTAACTTTTTTTAAGTGTCAGTTTATACAATAAACTTTATGTTCTGTATTTGTGCAGAGTAGCCTTCTCTCAAAACAAATTCCACTGACAGTAGGAGCTGCTCAAGAGGTGTCAGATTTTTCTTTATGAAGATTAAAGTTCAACTGAGAAATCAAAGGACTTACAATTTGGTTACACTTTGAACCACTAAATCATTTGCAGACTTGGGTATTTGTAGGTGTTACAGACATTTTCTCAGTGATGGATTGCTTTATGAAACAAAGCTAATGGGACAAAGGCATCGCTGCAGCAGTTGTAGTCTGTAGCCTTGAGTTCTCCACCTTTCTTTATCAAATGGTAGTGAAACAGATGAGTGTTAGATGCTTGTATACATCTGTTCTCCAGTCCCTGTTATCAGTTTCCTTCAGAGTGTATTTCTCAGTACAGCTGTTTACTTCATCAGCTTTGCTCAATCTGCCCATCTAGGTATGATCTTCATAGTTCAAGAGGTGTATCAAAGATGCTCTAATTTGAATTAGTTAGATATGTTCAACAGCTTCCTACTTGGCTCCTCAGTCAGCTGGTGGGTAACCTGTTAATAACAAAAGGTTAAAATAACTTAGATATCTCAGTATATACTTCTTGGGTTTCTACAGGTGAAGAGACTTTGCTGCCACTTGTAGGGTAGCTTCTATTGAACTGTTTGGCATTGAACAATTTGACTCTATCGAGAAGCTGACAGCCATTGAGATGTATCTGCTGTCTCCTGGCGTCCATCATGATTTCACATCTCTCGTCGCTTGTAACTTTTTGTACTGTAACATTTTGTTTGACAGCAATTACTTTGAAATGTACACTTGCTCACTTGTAAATTTCATGTATTAGAGACAATCAAACCCACACTCTCCATTTTTCAGCAGGGCAACAAATGATGGTAACATTTAGAATTCATGTTTTCTTGGATTTAATGCAATGTCCGTTATCTTTTTGTGAAGAAATTTTGTTTCTTCTTCTAATTTCTACTTAATTGAATTGCATTTATCATCTATTCCTCTTTTCCTATCCCTACCCAGCAACTAATTACATGAAGCAAAGAAGTAAAAGACCTGTGGACTGAGGTTAGTAAAATGATAAAGCATCTTTATTAATTTTCCTTTTGCCCCATGATCTGAAATGATGAAATACAGCATCACAGTGATCTAACATTCTTATTTTCATCTTATAAATTAGCTTGGCTATAACTTTATGGAAATTGATTTGAAATTCTCCTAGGCGCAGCTCTTAAAAGTTGAAAACTCAGTGTTTGAATTTTTTCTCTTGTGATTTAAGTATGCATATGTTCTGAATATTTTGCTTTTAGGCAGATCCTCTCAGCATCAAAAGTGTAGTTCGGTTAAGAATTAGATGTAAAAGGAAAGGCTTTATTGGAGCAGTTGGTTGGAAACTAATACCTGTCTGCACACTAATTAGGTTTCAGTCTTTCTGGTGGCCAGCTTGGCCTAGTATTGCTTTTCTTATTATGCTTGAACCATTGAAGGATCCTTGATAATTCTTAATGCAAAGCATGTCTTTGATTTTTTTTTTTGGTGTAATTTTCCCTCCTCTGGATTACACAGGGGGTGAATATAGGTACGGGAACACTCTACTGGATCTTGTGTTAATCTTAAAGCAAGTCCTGACTGTTTATAACAAATCTACTTTTACCTTCCAGTGAACTTCATACTTCTATGGTATTAACTTAATATCTTTAATTTGAACAGAGATTATAATCTCTTGACAACAATTAATCCTGAACATGCAGCATGACAAATGTTACAAAAAGCTATGCCAGACCATTCTAAAAGCAATGGTGGTAATCTGCCATTTCTGGATCCCTGCCCCACTCTACTCAGGAGACGTACTATAAGATGGTTTTGATAAGGACAAAATGGCTGCACATCTAAGTGCATGATGACAAACCCATTTTTCTCTTTAGACTGAGTATTAAACTGTTGATGACTAAATAGAA